AATTTTAAAAAATAAATTTAAAAAAATTTTTTTTTTTTCCAAAAATTTTTTTTTTTTTTTTTTTTTTTTTTTTTTTTTTTGAGACAAACGAATAAAAAAAAACAAAATGATCGTCAGAAATCAAAAATCAATCAATCAATCAATTATATACATACACCATCATATAAAATTGATTTCCATGCATGTTCAACTTTTTTTACTAAACGATAACTTTGTAATATATCAATGATACCCATAAATAATAATAAACGTTCACCTTTACGATTCATAGCACGAATTGCACCAGCACTAATTAGAAGTAAATAAAAAATGAATGAATGAATAATTAATTGATTAACAACTTTTTGGAGGTAAAAAATACTTACGGTAATTCATCATCATTATCATAATCAAACATACATTGATTATTATTATTATTAATTGATTGATTTTGTTGATCTTTTATTGTTTGATCATAATTATGTATACCAATCAATAATGAATAATCCATTATTTCAAATGATTGTAATACACGACAATCACGTTGTAATGTTTCAATTAATTCATCATAAACATGTGCATCAAGTAATAGGCCACCTTTTGTTGGAAATGATCTTGCTAAATCATCATTACCACCACAAATACTAATATTACCACCACCACCATTACAACCACCAACAGTATTAGTATTTGCAGTTGTAGTTCCGATTCCACCACCACCGCTGCCAATAATATTTCCACCATTATTACTGGCTGTACTGATATTGATTTGCAGATCAGCCATTTTAGAAAAATGTGTTATCAATGCTTTATTTTCATCATTATAATAATATTCTAAAAAATCTAAATCTTTATATGTTGGTGATGTTTTTTTCAATTCATCACCATTAGCTTTTCGTTTATATGTTGATCCTTTAAGATCATATTTTTGATGTATAGGTATATTTGATGGTAAAAGATTATTCATAACAAGTATTCGTATATTTTTTCCAATACATTCATAACAATAAAGACCAAAAAATTTCGGTAATAATGTATGTGGATTTTGACTTAGATTCTATGTTTATTTTCAAAGGAAAAAAATTAATGATAAAAAAACAAAAAATCGACAATGACTCACCATATAATATCCGGGTAATAATTTTAATAAAAATTTTGCTTCAGTTTTTTCAACAGTTTTTATAATAAATTGATCATCACGTGTACGAAAAAACATTGAACCAGATGCACCTGGATTTGATAATTCTTGTAATGATTCATTTGTTATGGATAACATAAAATCATCTGGTTGTATACGAAATAGATCACGAAAATAACGAAATGCAAATGGTGTATATGTACTGAATGTAAAATCAGTATAATGATGTGCAGGTGTAATTTGTGAACCGGATTTTGGAAAATGAACGGTTTCGATTTGCATAAAATCACGCATTAATAAATCACGTTCAGGTTTTGATGCCATCGATCCAACTGAATAACCAATACCCAATTGTATTGAATACATTAATTGTGTGGATTTAATTTTTTTATATGTAACTTGTCCATCTTCATTAACACGTCGATGACCAATACGTCTTTCTTTTGATAATATTGGTGGTAATGGTGATGATGATGATGTTGGTGTTATACCATAACCCGAAGAATTTGATTGATATTGACCACCAACATTACCATCTGCATGTAATGATGATTGATAATGTGAATGTTTTTGATTATGATTATGAATAAATTCGGCCGATGGTTGTGATGGTAATGAACGTCTTCGTACCAATGATGATGTTGGTGATGGTACTAATAAATGTTGATGACGTTGTCGAAAATGTATTAAACGATCATATGGTGATGGCATTGTTGGTATGATTATAGATTTAGGCATTATTAAATGATTATCTATCAATGTAACATCATTATGTATTGGATAACCTTGTTGATCGAATAATTGTTCAAATTGTGGTGGTGGTGGTTGTTGTTGTTGTTGCATTAGAATTAAATCCGTTGTTGAATGTGATTGTTGACGATTTAATGATGAAGAATTTGTTGATGAACGATTATCATATGAAAACATTGTTGCCGTTATTGTTGTCGATGCTGATGATGTTTGTTGTAATTGTTGCTGTTGTTGATGTTGTAGATGTTTATTATGTTGATTCGATAATTGTGAATCTAATGATGATGTTGTTGAATCAATATAATCAAAATTTATCATTTGATTCGTATCGATTATTAGATTATCAAGATTTGTTGTTGATTGTGATGAATCAAAATGATATGGTGGTGGTGGAATTTGATCCGAAAATAATGGATCATCAATATGATGATGATTTACATTTATTTCGGATACAACACGGCAAACATTACCAACACCATCATCATCATCATGACGACCAAAATTAGCTAATGGCATTGATTGAAATGAATGAAATGATGCACGTGGATTATTATCAACAAAGGTCATTGTTTGATGATCATGATTATGATTATTAACATTATTATTCAATAATAATGGAAATGGTGGTGTTTGTGGTGATGGTGGTGGTGGTGATAAACAGGTAATCGATGATTTATTTAATAAATTTTCTGAAATAATATTTGATTGATGATCACTTGAAATATCAACATTATCATTATTTATAATAAATAATGATGATGGCATACGATTACAATCATTTAATGTTGTTATTGTTGTTGATGATGATGGTGGTTGTTTTTGCATTGGTGGAATATTCGTATCATCACATGATAATTGAATAGTATTGATTGTCGGTGTTGTTGTTGTTGATGGTGGTGGTACAATAATATTATGATGACAATGACGATCTAATGGAAATGTTTTATTCGAAATAAATGTTAATTGTTGACAATCGATACAATCGATATCTTCTTCATCATCATCATCAATATCATCATTATCATTATCATCATCATTGATGACCATATTATTATTATCGACATTTGATTCATCAATTGAATCTTGTTTAATAATTGTAAAACGATTATTTTTCAAACATGTCGTTGCAGTTGTTGTTGTTGATGATGATTGTTTTGTTTCAGTTTGACTATCACCATCTAATATCAAATTTTGTTGTTGTTGCTGTTGTTGATCATGATCTTGATGATGATAATTTTGATCCGATTCTCCATTTGAAGAATTATTGATCGTTGCCGGTGGTGATGATATTGGTGCTGATGACGACGTTGATGATGATGTTGAATCACATAAAATATCTGGTGAAATTTTTACCATCATTGAAATGTTTTTACGAAACATTATACATTTGAATCAGGTTAATAATAATTCAGTTAAAATATTCGAATGTTTGTTTGTTTGTTTTTCTCTTTCTTTCTTTCTCGAAACAAGAAATTAATATTAAATTTAAAACAATTCATAAGTGTGAATGAGAATGTAAAGAAACCAATGAAAATTCAATTCAACAATTGAATCGAAGCTCGATTTTTTGATCGGTGTTTGGTTGATTTGTTTGTTTGTTTCATTCATTCATTCAACCTTCAAAGAGCAAAAAATATAGCATCTTCTTCATCAACACTTTTGAAGACAAATAAAAAAAATCATTATCGATATTTGATTGATTTGTTATCAATCATGGCTCATATTATTTCTTTTCGCTTTTTCCCCCTTACTTTCGAACGTTTTCTTCTTTCTTCTTCGTCTTCAAGAAATATATTTGATACGTCGTTTTTTTTCTTCTTCAAATAAGTTTCTAGTTTCATTCGATTTTTGTGATTGATTTATCATCGATAAATAAGTGATATATAACGGTAGTGGTGGTGGTGTTTATGGCAGCAGCGGTATATGGATGTAATTCAATTAAGAACCAAGAAATATAATTGGTATTTGAACGACGATAACGATTGAATGAAAGCAAGAAAGGAATGGTAAATATTTGTTGATAAATCACAAAGTCTTCTTCTTCTTCGAATGATAAGATTAAGTATCGTTTTTATTTCGGATTGACGGAATTGTTTAAAATAATGGTGGATTTTAGGTTTATTCGAAATTAAGTTTGCTCGTTTTCGAAAACGGAAAAAAATGAAGATTCTAAAAGAAAAATGATAGCCAAGCAATGGAAAAGTTTCTTTTTTTTAAATGAATCGAAATTGAAAATTACAAATTCAAACAAACAAACCTTTTTTTTCTGTTTGTTTGTTTTGTTTTGTTTCTGTCTACATGATGATAATGATTCATCAAATTCGATTGATTATCATCATTAGGACGAAGATGATGATGATGATAATCAATAACAAGTAAATAGACGCGAAAAATCTGAAAAAATAAATAAATATTTTTTATCGGGTCAACTCAAACAATCGTAAACGACAACAAAACAAAACAAAACAAAAATGTTCATGCAAACTATAGTTGTTGATGCAATATCTACTTGTTTGATTCAATTGTATTCAATTGTTGCATTGTTGTTGTTATTATTGTTGAATTGTTGTTGATGATCAACGATGAAATGCGAAACGATAGAAGAAAAAAAAATCCGGATTTGTTGCAATATCATTCACCACCATTCACCATACAAACAAACATCCATTCAATCATATTGTTTGATTTCGGCTGCAATCGATCCGAAATATAAATGATGTAAATATGAATGAACTTTTTTTCATCATCATCATTCCAAATCATCATCATCATGATGGTGTGTGCAACAAGTTTTTTTTATTCGTTTTGGTTACCATTTCTGTCAAAAAAATGAAAAAAATTCATTTTTGCCCTATCATTTATGAACGACTTCGCTTCGAATTTTTTACAAGGTGTGTTTTGGAATGTTTTCATTTTTCTGGCTGATGATGCAATTTTGATTTTTTTTTGTTTTGATTGAAAATTTTGTTTTTGTTTTTGTTTGGAAAAAAAATGAAGAACGAGACAATCCTCGGGATATCTTTTATCATATTTTCAACTATTTTTGTCTATTTTTTAAGCTTTATTCTCATTATGGCCCATGGTAAATGTTTTTGTTTTGTTTTTGTTTTTTTTTGAAAATTAATTTTCTTCTTTTTATTTTTATTCAAGCCGATGAAACCACAACAAAATCCTCATCATCATTGATGGCCGATAAATTTTTTGAAGATAATCCTGATAGTCATTCAAATTGGTGGAATGATAAATTTTATGAAACTTCTGTTCCAGATGATGATGATAATGATCCTTATGACGATAATGATATTAACTTTGATAATAATAATGATAATAACAATGGTGAACAACAAAAAAATTTCCATCAAAAACATTTAAAATGTTTCAAACAAATGTTAAAATTATATGGAAAAATTGCCAATCAATTTAATAAACTTTTTCGAATGTCAATGGAAAGAAATCCTCATAAAGAATTTGACATACGATTATCATTAAAATTATATGAATTGAATGATTTCAATGATTATATTCGACAATTTGAAATGATTCATAAAGAATTTCTTCTTGAACTTGATGATCCAGATTCAGTCGCCAAAATCAACAACAATGATCAAAAATCAAAATCCAATCAACCAAAATTCTGTGATCGAATCAAACAGATTGAATATCGTTTTCAAAATCTTTTACATCGTACGATTATTGAACCGAAAAAATCATCATATGAAAAATTACGATCATTTAGTTCATTGTTAGTAATCAATCGTCATTATCTAATCAATTATCTTACACCGACTGTTGCATTTCTTGTACAGATTTCATTATTATTGTATTATAATACAATAACCATAAGAAAATGTATTGGTCTTATTATTTTTAATTTAATTTTTACTGGTTCATTGATGAAATATTATCTGGAAAAACAAATTGAACATGAACGATTAATTTATTCGGATTATAATCCCGATCTAATAACATTGATTGTACAATATTTTATGACAATTTTTACCTATATGATGACAGAATTTATACAAAAATTACAACCACAATTACAACAATTATTTGAACAGATTACTATCGATTCATGGAATCCATTTATTTTTATACGAAATTTTTGCATATTAATGTTTTCAATATTTTTATTATTTCAAATGATTCCTTATATTTTTAATTTTTTTGTTAACATTATCCATATTTTATTTGATCATCATCATCATCATCATCATCATCATCGTCAACAACAACCAATGAATTCACATCGAATGAATCAAAAAGAAATAACAAATTCAAATGGTAATGATCAACCTCCAACTATTGTATATAATTTTAATAATAGCACAATCGGTACTATTGAATGTTTAGATTCTCAGCGACTAAAATCTTCATCATCATCACCATTGATATTGTCACCAAAGTTGGAATCAACTAAAACTACCAATGCTGAATTACCAAGTGATAATGAAGAATATTATTCTGCGGATGAAAATTCTTGAAATTTTAAATGATTTATTTTGTTTTTTCTTGTTATTAAATGTGTCACATTGTTTTGATATTTTAATTTATTAAAAAAAAATTTTTTAAAGAAGAATAAATTTCAAAAAAAAATATAATAAAAATTCTTGATTGATTATATAATCGAATGTTATGTGTTTTATGTTTCAGAACGAATATTCGAATGATGGTGATGGTCAACAACAACAATACTATCGATTGTTGTTGTTGTTGTTATATCATTATTATTACAACAACTTTTAATTAAACATTGATCACATTTACCATCACTATCACATGGACATTTAACTAAACATTGATTATTACAATGATTACTTGAATATCTACGTTGATCACGTTCAATTTGATAATTATGATAATGATGATTATAATTATAATTATTATTATTATTATTATTTGTTGTAAATTCTGGCTGTATTGTTATATAACGTATACCATATTTTTGTTGAAGAAATTGTTTAATTTCATCAAATAATCGACTATATTCGGCTGTATTTTGTGGTGGTAAAACAATATGACATGTTACGACAATATCCGATGCATTCAATAACCAAATATGAAATTCATGAATATTTTCAATCATTTGAAAACGATCAAGTAATTCACGTTTTAATTGAACAATATTTACACCTTCCGGTACTGTTTGCATTAGAATTAAAAAAGTATTTTTCAATTGTGGATAAAATGTTATACATAAACTAATTGCCGTTATAATACCAATAAGTGGATCAATCATTTCAACGGTTGTCATTTCCCAATAACCTTGTAAATTACCATGTTGTGCTAATGTAATAAGAAAACTACAAAATATAACAAAACAAGGACTTAATATTCCCTGTATGAATGAACGACAAAAACAATCAGATTCAGATGATGATGATGATGATTGTGGTAATGGTGATGCACTAAATTCAATACGATATGCTTCATCCATTAATGATGTTGGATCCATTGTTGCTGTACGATGATTATTATCATTATCATCATCATCATCATTATTGATTAAATCAATATTTTCATCCGGTTCTTGAATTTTATTACGTGGAAATGTTGGTGTTGTTGTTGTTGTTGTTGAAATAGTTGTTTTAGTTAATTTAGCTGTTTTGATTAAAATTGTATTTTTATTTGTTTTTGTTTCGGATTTTTTCGTTGATGATGATAATGATGATAATGATAAACGACGACGTTGACATTTGGCCGTTGAAAATGAACGTTCTTTTTGTGTTGTTTGTTTATATTTCTTATCGGTCATAACGCCTTGTTGATTTGTAACAAGAAAACCAAAATTATTATCATTATCATCGATTTAAGAGCAAAAAAACATACCATTGATTGTTAATACATATAAAATGTTAACAATCAAACTCCAAACACCAAAAATAATTAAAATTTTTGGATTTGTTGGACCAGCAATTTCATGTAAATGTAATAATTGTAAAGCACCTTCAATTAGTAATGAAAATATTAACGCAACAATAAATGTAATCATTGTTAACATTCCAAGTAATTCGGTTCGTACCCAACCGAATGTATTTTTAACGGTTATTTGATTGGAAATCTGTTCGGAAAAAAGAGAGGGGAAAAAAAGTGAAAACAAAAACAACAAGAAATGATTGACAGGTAAACCAAAAATAATGATCCAAAACAAACAAATTACAAATACCTTATAACAAACGACCAATAATATTGCATTGAATGAATTAAATAAATGATGATATGCATCAGCCAATATAAGCATTGAATGTACCATTTGATCGATAATTATTTCCGATATAAATATTACTGTTTGTAATATAATTATTCCATATAAAAGATATAAACGTGGTGGTGGTCGTTGTTCGAATTGATTTGGTACATTCACTGATGATGACTGTGGTTCAATAACATTTGTTGCTGGTGAATTTTTAACAATTTTCACATCACTATGTTGTTGTTTTGGAAGGATATTATCATCACTGTCATCATCATTCATTAAATTTGTAATCGATGGTGGAATCTCCATCATTATCACGGAGATTGTTGTTGTTGTTTTTGTTTTGAAAAAAGTTTACAAACAATGTTTTGTAATTTGTAAAGAATTTTCTTTGCCAGAAATGATAGAAATTTGAGCTAGTTGATCAACCTATGATGAGATTCGAATGAAATAATCGTTGTCTTCGTCGTCGTCGTCGTCATTAACCATCATCGAATGATGTCGTTTTTTACTTTGAATATTTTTTCTTCTTATGCGCTTTATTCACACCCAATTTATAAACACAGAAAAAGATTTTCTTCTTCTTCTTCTATTTTATTCAACAGTTGCCAGAAAATAAAAAAAAGTGATGATAAAAAAAAATGAAAGTTCGCTATGTAATTAGAATTCTTTTTTGCTGTTGCTGTTTCGTTGGCTCATCATCTCTCTGTATCCACATTCATCATCAAAATCAAATCAAAATCTTCATGTGGTCGAATACAATGATGAGTGATCCACTAAAATGAATGTCAGTAACGGCACTGTTTTGTTTGCTTGTTCGTTCGTTTGTTCGCTTGTTTGTTTGAAGGTTCAAATTTCAACATTGATAAATTTGATGTTTGCCATTGATAATGATAAAATTTTTCGCTAACTGCGAATAAATTGATTGTAATCAATTTTGATTAGATTTTTTTTCTTTTCGATTATCAATTGCCAATAAAAAAACATTATCGTTTGTTGTTGTTGTTGTTGTTACCATCCCTATTTGATAATTTATTTTCCCGGATTTTTTATCGTGTAAAAAAAATTGAAATTTTTAAAATTTTTAAATTTTTAATTTTAAAAGGAAATTTTTAATCAGAAAAAAAAAGATTCTTCCATTTCCACCTATCATAATCATGCGTTATTATAGAAATTCCATTTCAACCTGAATGGATCATCATCATCAATTTTTTTTCTGCATTTTTTTTCCGACTCGTCAAAATAGAGCACCCCTCTCATCACACTCTCTCTCTCTCTTCGTTTGCTGTGGTCGATTGTGGTTACACAATTGTTATCAATGCTACTACTTCTATGCGGTTTTTTTTCATTTCGTTTCGATGCTCTTTTTCCACTGGCATGCACACATTCTATCATTCCATTGTTTTCATGATTCGTTCGATTTTTTTTTTATTATTTCGGTTATTATCTTTGGTTGTTTTCTTTTCTATTTTACCCGAATGAAAATTTATTCAAATAGAATATTCATTTCGGTAATTTGTTTGTTATTTTTATTTTTGTTCCTATAGGTGAAAATAAATTTGTTTCTTATTTTGTGAAATTCATTTTGTGTTTTTTGTTTTTGTTTGCGTGAATCGTATCTGTCATCTTCCTAAGAATTTTGTTTTTTTTTAAATTCACTTATTTATCACTAACAACAATGAGCTATCGTGGTGAACGTAAACGTCGCCACAGTTGTAGCGATCATGGTGATGATTTATCACCACATCAACCACCATTATCATCATTACCACAAAGATCTATTGGTGGTGGTGGTGGTGGTGCTTCATCATCAGCATCATCATCACCTGAATGGAATCGTTCAGCATCGAATGGTGGTCATCGACGTGATCATCATTTATCATCACCAAATGTTGATCGAAATGGTGGTGGTGGTCATGGTCATCATCATCATCAACATCATCATCATCATCATCAACGGCATCGATCACCATCGCCAAGATCACCAAGATCACCTCGTTCACCACCTCCACCATCATTATCATCATCATCAAAAATACCACCTATGTCATCATCATCATCAAGACGTGCACGATCATCAAGTTATGATCCAATCAAGGTTGGCTATCCTCCAAAACAACGACAACGATCAACATCGCCGCCATTTTCATCTAGCAGACAATTTGATGATCATGATCGTCCACATGATCGTGCACTTGTCCGTGCCATTAATGTTAGAATTTATTTTGTTTTTTTTCTATTTTTTTCTATTTGAAAAATTTTCAAGCAATTTTTATCTAATAATTTACTATTGATTCATCAAAAAAAAACTATAGTCGGATTTACGGCCAGACAAAGATTATCGAAGTGATCCAGAAAAAACATTATTCATTGGTCGTTTGAATGGTACGACAGACGAGAATGCAATTCGAATGGTAAGTGTTTGATGAGATGATGTTGATAAATTAATCATGGATTTGCTGTTAATTTTTTTGTTTTTCAATGATATTTAGCATTTTGAACGATGGGGTGATATTCGATCATTGTTTTTGATTCGTGATGTATTGACCGGTGATTCACGTCGTTATGCATTTATTGAATTTCGTCGTGCAAAAGATGCTGATCGTGCATATGCTGAAGGACATAATTCATTATTGGATGGACGTCGTATTCTTGTTGATCGAGAATTAGGTCGTACGATGAAAAATTGGAAACCAAGACGATTTGGTGGTGGTTATGGTGGTCAAAAAGAATCTGGTCAGATGCGTTTTGGTGGTCGTACAAATGAACATCGTGGATTTAATAATAATCATTATAATAATAATGATCATCGTGGTGGAGGTTTTAGTGGTAATGATCGTACATTTCGACCACCATTACATCATAGATCAATAACTGCACCATATCCACAGCAATCATCATCATCATCATTTACACAACGTCGAACAAATGGTATTGATCGATATAATCGTCATGATCATCCATCAATGGGACCAATGCATTCATCATCAACAACAAGATCATATAGTAATGGCCATCCATCATCATCGTCATCATATCGACATCATTCAACATTGGATCATCATCAAAGCAGTGGTGGTGGTGGTGGTGGACCTATTCGTAGTAATTCGGGCCGTCGTTAATCAGAATAAATTTCATAAATTTTGCAATCATTTTTAATGTCATTTAATCATAAAATTGAACCAATAATTAAAAAAAAAACATCAACAATTCTATAGAAAAGAATAGCAACGTTAGAAATCAATCATCAAGATTTGTTTTTTTATATTTCAAAATTTTCACTCAATTTTTTTTCATCTCAGCATTTAGTTTTTTGTTTCTTTGGGTTTTGCTAAAAAAATTCATTTCTTCTTGTAGAATAATTTCTTATCCTCATCATCATCAACATGATCTGCTGGTCATTTATTCAACACGAATTTCAAATTAAGAATATCTCTCTCTTTCACTTAACGACAATCTTACTGTATCAGTATTCATTTCATTCACAAATTAATTCATTCATTCTCTATATCTATCTTTGTGTGTGTGTTTGTTTGTTTGTTCAGCCTGAATTCTTCATCAGAAAAAAAAATTGTAAAATCCTAAAAAACAAATAATTTAAAATTTTATTTAGCATTTCATTATTATAATCATAATAATAATAATAATAATCACTTATAATGAAAACCATTCAACCAGATATTACAAAGCACCAATATAATTCATGTTTTCACTTTACCCATCTCATTCAATTCATGTCATTCATTTTCATCAAAATTAAAAGAAAACAAAGATGGCCATCACCACCACCCTATATTATATCATCATCATAATCAATTATAATTTCATTTTATTTAATCACCCTATATATCACTATTTCAAATCAAAGCATTTCAACAAAAGAATTACAAATTATATAAAGCATTTCATTTTAAGAAAAAAAAACAAGCAAACATTTTTTTCAAATTAAAGAAGAGAAAAAACGAAAAAAATCTTTCGAAGATTTTCAAAAAAAGCAAAAAAATCTGTCATTTTCTTCAGATTTTCAAAAATTCATTCAACCACCAATCCAAATCAATCAATCAATTTCGGGTAAGATATTCCTGCAACTTTTTCTTCTTTTTTTTCCTATTTAGATTTTTTTTTGAATTTGGTAAGTATAATGGATAAATATGAAACAAAAAAAAAATTGAAAATTATCATTATTTTTTTCTATGAATAAAATCATAATTTTTTCAAACAAAAAAAAACTTTCCGTCTTCCTATTTTTATTGAAAAAAAGATTCGTTTTTCTATATAGAATTCCTATATCCACTTTTGGTGGTGTTGATGATGGATCGATATGGATCGTCGACTGAAAATTCTGTTCCACTACCATCATAGTTGTTGTTGTTGTTAAAAAAAACCCGATAAATAAATCGATAAATGTTTTTTTTAAACATAGAATTCTACGGCACAGAATCGCTATATATTTTATTGAATGTGTGTGTTCTGGTTGTTGAAAGAATATTTTCCACCACTACTGCTACTTGATTGGTTACCATGGTTGTCGTTTTTTCGAAAAATTCTTTCAAATTGATCGATTTTTTTTATGCGATAGGATTATTATCATCATCGTTGTATTCTATGTCGTTAGATGGCACCAAGTTTCTTGGTTTCTTTCGCATTCTTTAGTTGATCACGATCAATATTGAAAGAAAGATTTTCAAAAAAAAAAATCCATTATTTTAGTTCAAATTCTGGTCACCAGATGGAAATCAAAATAAAACAAAAAAAATGGCGCCTTTCATTTTTTTTTTGAATTTTCAATTTTTAAAAACTTGAAAAAAACTTCCATTGAAACAAATCCTAAAATTGACTTAAATTCTTTTAACCGAATTCTCTGTACACTTCCGTTATCAACATCATTATTTTTTATTCAAAGAAACAAATGAAAAAATACCTTGGAAACAACAGCGACGTCATTGCAGAATTCATTAAATTCAATATTGAATTCACAGGCAGCAGCAGCCGGTGGTTTTCTTATATTGATTGTTGTCGACGACGACGCCAAATAATGATAATAATATGACCAACAACAACAACAACTGTTCAATTTGAATCATTATTATCCAAATGATCCAAATGAAGAATCTGTTTTGGTTGCACCGCCTTAAAACGCCTTTAACTCCGCCTTATTATTATTATTATCATTGATATTTGGTGTATGTTTTAATGTTGGTGCTTATTAACAACGACGCTGCCGCAGACGAAGACTAAGACCTTGTTGTTTAAGGTTTTAGTCAATGAAAAAAAAGAACGAAATTTGAAAAAAATACATTCAACATTTACCAATCAACAAAGACGGGTGACAATTATTATTATTATTATTTCAAAGAATAAATCTGATACGGTGAATGATGATTGTAAACGATCAATATTGAATGATAATTTGAATTTAATCAACAATAATAACGACAACAGATAACATCAGATCGATATCTGTTGTTTGATGAACTAAGTGAATCAAAATTAAAGATTATCTGATCAGATTTTCATTGAAATTTTCATTGATTCTTTTGTTGCAAGATGAATCCAATGATAATGAAAATGTTTTAAAAAGTTGTTGTTGTTGTTGATTGAAAAATATATTTGATTAGAATTAAAAGAAATCAACCAAAAGAAAAAAATGATTGATGCAACGGATTTTCGTAGTGTAATTGCCGCATCAACAACGGATAATGGTCATTCACATCATTCAGCAGCAGCTGCTGCTGCTACCGCTGCTTCAATTCATCATCCATATCATCCACATCATCATAGTTCAGCGGCTAGTATTCATCAAACTGGTATTCATCCACATCATCCACATCATCCGCATCATTCATTGACTGGAGGATGTGTTGCTGGTGGTGGTGGTCAACATCCACATTCACATCAAACATTAAATGGACGTATGACACCTACCGGTTTTGTACAAACAACCGGATCACCATATGCAACATTAACACCATTACAACCATTACCACCAATATCAACAATGTCGGAAAAATTTCAACATCATTATCATGCTGCAGCGGCTGCTAGTGCACATCATCATCATCATAATCATCATTTACATGGTCCACATCATCCAAGTAATGGATCATCAGCTGGTTTTACAACAGCAGCTGCATTAATGCATCATATGCATCATCATGGAATGACACAATTAGAAGCAGTTTCTGCATCCGTTTCCGAACAACAACAACAACAACAGCAACAACAGCAGCAACAACAACAACAGCAACAACAACAACAACAACATGCTCAACAACAATACGCCCAACAATATTCAACGTTGCAACGAAATATTCAACAACAACAGCAACAACAACAACAACAAGCATCGGTTGTTGGATCAATGCTTGGATCATATGGATCATCAAATCCATCGATTGTTGGACATCATCATCATAATCAACATGTATCAGCGGCGGTTGCAGCAGCTGCTGCTGCTGCAATGATAAACGGTGGTAATCCATCGGTAATAACATCCGTATCATCGGCTGCTAATGCTGCTGATTTGATATTAGGTGGTAGTTCCGGTAGTGGTGCAAATGGTGGTAATTCATTACAATCACCATCTGATCGTGGTAGTATTGGTTCACCATGTAGTGGTGGTCCATATGATTATGCTGGTACATTAAGAGATATGTCCAATTCAATAACATCACCATCACCAACAGTTCATTCATCATCATCACCAAATGATAATGGTAATGGTAATGGTCGTGCTCAATTACATTCACCAATATCAGTAATGAACAATAATAATAATATGGATTCCGGTTCCAGTAATAATAATAATAATAATAATAATGAAGAACATCATAGTCCAGGAAGTGTTAATGGACGTTTAAGTGTACATCAACATCAAATATCGAATATAAATTCATCAAGTCCAAGTCCACCACCACCATCATCATCATCAACACCATTATCATTGATTGGTCATCATCATCCTCATCCTCATCATCATCCACATCAATTATTATTAAATCATAATGCTCATCATCAACATCAGCAACATCAACAACAACAACAACAACAATTTCAACATCATCATCATCATCCACTTCATTCGAATAATATTGATAATATTCATCCACAATTAATGAACGCATCACCAACATCTAGTTCCGGTTTTTCATTACATCATCATGCAGCAGCAGCAGCAGCAGCGGCTGCAGCGGCAGCTGCCGCTGCTGCATCAATTATATCACCAATTAGTTCAATTAGTGGTGGTGGTGGAAATGGTAAAGATATTGATGTTATTGATCATCATCAACAACATCATCATGTAAAATATGGTTCATCATCATCAAATAATGATGGTGGCGGTGGTGGTAATGTTGAAACAAATTCAATTGGATCTGCTGAATCAACAACATCATCAAATGATGATCAAGAAGAAATTAATACAAAAGAATTGGCACAACGTATATCGGCCGAATTAAAACGTTATAGTATACCACAGGCAATATTTGCACAACGTGTTCTATGTCGATCGCAAGGAACATTATCCGATTTATTAAGAAATCCAAAACCATGGTCAAAATTGAAATCTGGTAGGGAAACATTTCGTCGTATGCAAAAATGGTTAGAAGAACCAGAATTTCAACGTATGTCGGCATTACGTTTAGCTGGTATGTTTTTTTTTTGTTTTTTTTTCAATATTTTATACACAAGGGTTAATGACATACATGAATGAATGATAACCATGCAACAAATTGTAATTGAAAAAAAATCCATTTCATTGATCCAGTCAGTTCTAAATTTGCGATCGAATAATTCTCCTCCATTCATTTTCGATCGCAAAAAAAATTCACATTGAAAGTCGATATTGTCACATCAGATGACATATGGATGATGTTCATATCCAAAAAATCGATGAAAAAAAATGGTCAATATCAGTATGGCGAGAAAGAAAGAAAATATGGATCCATATTGACCATTTTATCCAGTCGAAACAAACAAAAAAAAATCCATATATCTTTTTTTTATCATTTACATACATCATATCAGGGTTAAAAAAAGTCGATTTTATTGACCAAAAATACAAAAGCATCCTCATGATGTGATACTGAAAGAAAGTAAAAATTATTGACAAAATTCTGTGTAGCTTTGCTATGTGTGGATTCAGAAAAAATCGAATATTTCGATCACTTTTTCAAAATCAATTAATGATAATCAATTTTTTTCTTAACCCTTCGTTTTAAAACAAGGATTATTGGAAAAAAGGTGTCGATTTTTTCCGTTAACACCTTATGTTTGTTTAACTTTTTTATCTAAAGATCGATTGATCATCACACCATTATTCAAGGGTGTTGTTATTTTGTTTGTGACAAAAATATCGAATATCGATATTTTGTTGAAAATTTTCTCTCTTTTTACCCGGTAATCAAAACCGGATCGATTATATCATCGATCCGGTTTGATCCCCATTTTGTTGTCTACTTTGGTTTTTCTTCCAACTTGATTTCGATTGAACCAATGATCATGATCATTTTTGATTAATTAAAACAAAGAAATTTTTCAAACATGAATTTTCAAATCGATATTTTGATATTCGGGTCGATTCTTTAAAAGACCAAGTAAAAATATTGATTATGGCGACGACGAATATGTTTTTTTATTCAAAAATCAATGATTTGGATTGGTGATTTTTTTTATATTGATTTTGATTTCATTCACCCTGGCTCCACTCTTGTCATCGATTATGATCAATGAATTGATTATTTTCGCTTGCTTGTTTGTCACACCTTTTCTGTTGTTGTTGTTATTCATCCATCATCGATTAATCAATATCCACATATATCGATTGACAACTGACCAATTTCAGAATGGAAAATTCAACAAGGTGGTTGAATTTGAAGATAGACAAAGAATCGAACAAAAAAAAACATTTTAAATCACCAATCCTTCAATTGATCCAGGTGGTTTTCTCACCGTTACCCCCACCATTATCGTCAACTAACCACCCACCCACCACATTGCCATGGTTTATCAGCATATTTTATTTCTTCCTTAATAGTTTGCACTCGAACACACACAGAGAGAGAGAGAGAGAGTGAATATTTTCATTTTTTTGGATATTCAATTCACATTAAAATTATGAATGCTGCTGCTGCTGCTAAATATATGACTGTCATGCAATCGAATCATTATTAGTTTAATTCTTTTCTCTTTCTTCTGTTCCATGGCTACTGTTGTTGTTGTTGTTTTCGGTGTGGATGAATGGGAAAAAAAGTTTCCATTTTTTTCAGATTCTTTTCTTTTTTTTTGTTTCAAATTCTTAATGACTTTTGACAAAAAAAAATGAATTCATTTACCAGCCACGCAATGTTTGCATTTAAAAAAAAAAGTTTTTTTAAAAGGTCCGTTCTAAGAAACAAAAAGTTTTTGTTTGTTTGAAAAAGTGGAGATGAATTTCTTTGCTTCCAGGCTTGAAATGATTCAAAAACAAGCGAAAAAACTTCCCAAAAAATGAAAACAAAGTTTCAGATAGTAACTCTGTCGTCATCGTCATCATCGAATGTCATGCAAGCGGAACATTTCGATGAGAAAACAGAAACAAAAAAAGTTTTTTCTCTTGGTTTTTTCTTCTTCTTCTTCCAGGAACAATACCCGAACAAAAAAAACATTCTCTAAAGTTGATTCAGAAACTATGTTTTTTTTTATTTAGGTATTTTTTTTTCTTGGTTTGATAACCGGAACAATCTTGTTTCCGGTAATGTGTATGTGTTGGCTGTTTTTTTTCTGGCCCGATTCTGCGGTAAAAAAAACGGAAATTCTTTCTTTCTTTCTGACTTTTGTTTTTTCTCTCACCAGAATCCCGATTCGACCGTTACGCTCTTGAACATTTTTTTTTTTTTTGACAGTTCTGGTTGTTTTTTTTTTCTCCCAAGCACCAAAAAACAAAACAAAAACAACCAGAAAAAAAACAGAAAAACAACTTGTGATATGAGGCAAACAGAATTCTTGATTCTGACAATTACTGCTTGTCTTCTGTCAATTAAATTTCAATATTGTTTTTTTTAAACAGTAAAAACTAACCAAACACAGTCAAGTCAAACGCACAGTTAACTGTTTTCATCATCATTATGGTTGGTGGTTTCCATCATTATTTGAAAATTTCAACCGTTTTTTTTTAATCGGTTTCATTGTTGTTGTCGTTGTTGTAATTCTTACAATGTGGTTTTTGGTCTAATGATTTTCTTTC